CGGAAGAAAACAGCAACATCAGCAGAAATGGTTCGAAAAGTAAAGAAGCGACTTGGTCGAAACTCGCGTCTCAGTGGCCGAAAAATGGAAAATGGGTCGCCGTAACAGCCTATGGTCGCTCTCCGCTCGTATTGATCGACCGTGGCATCAGAATAAATACCGAATATTATCGCGAAAATATTTTGAAGGGTGTATTAAAAGCATATGGCACGCAAATATTTTGGTCGCAGACCTTGGATATTCCAACAGGACTCAGCACTATCGCACTCAGCACGCGCCAACCAAGAATGGTTACAAGATCAGGTTCCTCGCTTCATTTTCAGCGCACAATGGCCACCAATATTTACGGATACCAATCCGTTGGACATTTGTGTCTGGTGTATTTTAGAAAGCAATGCCGGCATTAAAAAAATACCAAAGTGTCGATCACCTCAAGCAAGCGCTTCGCCGGGAATGGGGCAAAATACCACAGAGCAACATTCAGGCAGCGTGTGACGGTTTCTTTGGCCGTTTGAAGGTCATAATTCGTGCCAAAGTTAACCGATTCGAACAAATTTAAATTTATTCTAAAATTTGATTCTATTTCCGACATTTTTTTCTTTCATTCAATAAAATGTAAAAAAAGTAAAAACTATGGCGTTTGACTTAGTTGCATATTTTTTATCTCACCCTATATGTGAGAAGTGCTTTTGGTCTTCTTTAAGAAGACGTTCTAGTCTCTATATGATGGCATTCCTGGTCATCTAAGAAAATATTTTCTGTTGGACTTTGTGTTTTTTGTATAGATATATCTTGGGCTTCTATATGGAGGCCTTCGAGTATTCTATGAGAAGATACTCTGGTCATCTGTGATATCTACAGTTATTCTATTCGGATACCGTCTGTCCTTCTTCTAAAGTGTATGGAATAACCTTCGATCTTCTATAAGAAGTCCTCATGTTTTTCTATGTAGGGAACTTCTGGTCTTCTATTAAAAATACTTTAAGTTTTTTCGATATTTTATCATCTCTTTCACAGGTGTAATAGGATCTAAGTATTAGATGTTTGGAATATTTCTATTCATTGAAGTCTATTAAGAAGATTTAGAGAAAAGAGGAGAGTTCTACTTCATTTAAATATTTTGATTTATATTTGCTTTCATGAAATTTATACGCGTTCTTGTCTACCTATACTTATTACAGTTCTCTTCAGTATAAAATGAGCTTTGCATATTTGCCCTTGTCGTTACTGTATAAGCAAATGAAAAGCTTGCCATGTAGTAATACATCCACTAAAAAAGATTTTCCTAAACTCATAAAAAGCTTTTCCATTCACTAAATTTTCTCTCAGCTCTTTTAATGGCAGCCAGCGAAGCGTTTTCCCATGGCGGAATTGTTATCAATTTTATAGAAAATATACAAAGCTTAATAATAACTTTGGAAACATAATCCTTTGATATCGCATATCTTGTACGGCTGTCAAGAAAACGTTTGGCGTTGTTTTAGACAATCCTGACGTTTGCCACTTGATGATAGCATGGCGGCCATTAATTAAAACTTATTTAAACTGGCGTAGTTACCGATCCAGACACAATATTCCACCAAACATTAGTGAGACAGCCATCTCGTTTTCACACATTTTTGTTTTTCATTTCTTTATTTCACTGTTTGGCTGCCAATGTTTTGATGCGTTTTCTTTGCACATGAAAAAATTAAATGAAATTTCTTATGTCACTCTCATCTGCATCATCATCATCGCCATCAGACTTTTGTCGATGTAATGACCCTGATGATAAAATGCAAAATGATCTACGGCGATAACATTGTTGTAAATCACTCCGCACTTCCACACAATGTTGTGAAGCTTCGCTGATCTCGGCTAACAATAATAATACGATTGTTATATTTAATACGGAAGATGCGGCCAAAAAGAAAACAAACTGCCAACAAAGTCGTTAAAAACAAAGTGACAAATTCCAAAAGGTGTTTGTTTTTTGTGCTGTTTTTTGTTTGTCTAATTAAACGCAGAAAGACAAGTGATACTGCCACCGGTCCTCTTTGAGCTTTTTGTTTATTTACCTACTCCAGCCGAATCAGAAGCAGATGAAAGTGGCATACCGAATGAGGTTTTGTACATGGGAAGCTCTAACTAATTTTAGTAGATGGAAAGTTCTAATTCTTCATAGAAAAAATACATCATGCGGTTTTTTCGTAGATAGAAGACATTCAAGAGGATTCTACATCCGACAAAGTTTTAAAATGTCAATACAGAAGTCTAAAGGTCATAACCGAAGATCTTCTTATAAAAAACCGGAAGACCTTATCATATATGTCCAGAAGGTCTTCCTATAAAAGATCAAAAGTTCTTCTCTTTGAAGACCAAAAATATTATCATTAAAGAACAAAAGGTCTTTTCACAAAACACCTAAAAGTCTTTTCATGGAAGGCCAACCTATTTTTTTATCATAAAAGGTCAACAAAAACTTCATTCTAAAAAAAACTAAAAGTCTTCTCCAAGATCAAAAGGCCTGCACATAGAAGACGAAAAAGGTCAGATCATACAAGAGCAAAAGTCCTTCTCATATAAGAGCAAAAGGTCTTCTCATAGAAGGCCAACATTTTTTCTCATAGAAGAGCAAAAGGTCTTCTCATAGTAGAGCAAAAGGTCTTCTCATAGAAGAGCAAAAGGTCTTCTCATAGAAGAGCAAAAGGTCTTCTCATAGAAGAGCAAAAGGTCTTCTCATAGAAGAGCAAAATGTCTTCTCATAAAAAACAGAAGGTCTTCACATAGAAGACGAAAAGGTCTTCTCATAGAAGAGCAAAAGGTCTTCTTGTTATAGAAGGTCAGAAGGTCTTCTCATAGAAGACCAGAAGGTCTTCTCATAGAAGATCAGAAGGTCTTCTCACATAAGATCGGAAAGTCTTCTTATAGAAGATCAGAGGGTCTTATCATAGAAGATCAGAAGGTCTTCTTGTTATAGAAGGTCTTCTCATAGAAGACCAGAAGGTCTTCTCATAGAAGATCAGAAGGTCTTCTTATAGAAGATCAGAGGGTCTTCTTATAGAAGACCAAAATATCTTCTCATAGAAGACGAAAAGGTCTTCTCATAGAAGAGCAAAATGTCTTCTCAAAGAAGAGCAAAATGTCTTCTCAAAGAAGACGAAAAAGGTCTTCTCATAGAAGAGCAAAAGGTCATCTCATAGAAGAGCAAAAGGTCATCTCATAGAAGAGCAAATGGTCTTCTCATAGAAGACCAAAAGGTCTTCTCATAACAGACCAAAAGACCTTCTCATAGAAGACCAAATGTCTTCTCATAGAAGACCAAAAAGTCTTCTCATAGAAGACCAAAAGGTCTTCTCATAACAGACCAAAAGACCTTCTCATAGAAGACCAAAAGACCTTCTCATAGAAGAACAAAAGACCTTTTCATAGAAGACGAAAGGCCTTCTCATAGAAGACGAAAAGGTCTTCTCATAGAAGACGAAAAGGTCTTCTCATAGAAGACGAAAAGGACTTCTCATAGAAGACCAAAAGATCTTCTCATAGAAGACCAAAAGACCTTCTCATAGAAGACCAAAAGGCCTTCTCATAGCAGACCAAAAGACCTTCTCATAGAAGACCAAAAGGCCTTCTCATAGAAGACGAAAGGCCTTCTCATAGAAGACGAAAAGGTCTTCTCATAGAAGACGAAAAGGACTTCTCATAGAAGACGAAAAGGACTTCTCATAACAGACCAAAAGACCTTCTCATAGAAGACCAAATGTCTTCTCACAGAAGACCAAAAAGTCTTCTCATAGAAGACCAAAAGGTCTTCTCATAACAGACCAAAAGACCTTCTCATAGAAGACCAAACGACCTTTTCATAGAAGACGAAAGGCCTTCTCATAGAAGACGAAAAGGTCTTCTCATAGAAGACGAAAAGGACTTCTCATAGAAGACGAAAAGGTCTTCTCATAGAAGACGAAAAGGACTTCTCATAGAAGACCAAAAGATCTTCTCATAGAAGACCAAAAGACCTTCTCATAGAAGACCAAAAGGCCTTCTCATAGCAGACCAAAAGACCTTCTCATAGAAGACCAAAAGGCCTTCTCATAGAAGACGAAAGGCCTTCTCATAGAAGACGAAAAGGTCTTCTCATAGAAGACGAAAAGGACTTCTCATAGAAGACGAAAAGGACTTCTCATAACAGACCAAAAGACCTTCTCATAGAAGACCAAATGTCTTCTCACAGAAGACCAAAAGTCTTCTCATAGAAGACCAAAAGGTCTTCTCATAACAGACCAAAAGACCTTCTCATAGAAGACCAAACGACCTTTTCATAGAAGACGAAAGGCCTTCTCATAGAAGACGAAAAGGTCTTCTCATAGAAGACGAAAAGGACTTCTCATAGAAGACGAAAAGAACTTCTCATAGAAGACGAAATGGACTTCTCATAGAAGACGAAAAGGACTTCTCATAGAAGACCAAAAGGTCTTCTCATAGAAGACCAAAATACCTTCTCATAGAAGACCAAAAGGACTTTTCATAGAAGACGAAAAGGCCTTCTCATAGCGGACCAAAAGACCTTCTCATAGAAGACCAAAATACCTTCTCATAGAAGACCAAAAGGACTTTTCATAGAAGACGAAAATGCCTTCTCATAGAAGACCAAGAGAAGACGTTAAAAATATTTAATAGATATGTTAATGAAGTAGAGGACTAACAGTTTAATGTTGTCAAGACCGAGACTTCTTTTTAGAAAATATCTCAAACTCATTTCGAAAAGTTATTGATCCTGTTTGTGGTAGAGAACATGAAAAAATCCCAACAAATGGTCACAACTTCGCTTTGCTCGCTTTCGTGCTGGTCATTTGCAGTTAACGCACGCTAAGCTTGAAGAAAAGAAGCCGGTGGCTGAAGTCAAAGGCAAAAGCTTAGCTTAGCGATAGGTGCTGCGCATGCGCTAACAATGCCGTTGCAGTTCCCCCAACAATGGTCTACTGGTCGGCGCAGCAAAGCAGCGCATATAAATATCAACGATTTTTAAGCGCACACGTTAGTCTGCCGTTACAAGCATTTGAAGTCAGAGCCAAACCAAAAGCGAAACAAATCGAATAACCGCCCAACGGAAAACTGAAAGAAAATCCAAAAGGCAGAGCTTTTTGCATTGGGGTTGAATTTCAAATAAAACGTTGTAACGTTTGCGATTTTGAATAAATAAATTAAGTTGAATTGAATTGAGTTTATTAAAAAATTCGGCGAAAAATCTAAAATAATCGACACTTGTAAAGTGAAAAAATAATTAATTCATAAAAAACGTATTTTTCGATAAGATTGCATGCAACAATTGTAAACAAAAAATTGCGTTACAACAATTTTGTGTAAAAAATAACCACAAACAAGAATAGTTAATGAAATAAAATCGTAAAAGAAAACGAACGCAAAATAAAATCCAAAATACTTTCCTTCTTACCTACATTACAACGACAGAGGCCTTGACAAGGAAGTGCTGAAATTAAAAAAAATACATTTCTCGTTACAAAAAGAAAGAAAGAAAGAAAGAAAAAACATAGTAATGTTGTAAAAAAATTAAAACAAAGTTATTAATATTTATAACAAACAAATAATTTGAGCAAATAAACTCCAAAGGAGAACTCAAAAAACAACGAATCAACTGAAGCTAAAGCAATCCATTAATTCCGGCTAGACTGTTGAAAATAAGGTAAGTGTTTTAGTATCACATTCCGCAATTGACTTGTAATTAGTATTTCGAATTTATTTCGATTTGTGTGTTTGTGTCTGTTTCTCGCTTCGTTTCAATTATTTCAGTTACTTTTGTTTGGCGTGAAAGTTAATAATTTGAATTAGTTTTTTTTTTTTTTTTTTTTTTTTTTGCAAATTAGGTATACGAATTTAACTTCGATTTTTAACTTCGAATTTTATTTGCACTGTTGAGTATTTAAATTGCATGGAATAGAGTTGTATCCAAGCACAAGTTGGCAAATTGTTTAGTTTATGAATATTATATGGGTAAAACATAAATTAATACTTTTACCAATAATACAATTTAATGCCAAATTAAAAACAAGTAAGCAAAGGCTACAGTCGAGCGGGGCCGACCGTTGAATACCCTACAACACTATAATAAACGATACAGTTTATATAGGCGAGATACTCGAAAGAATTCCACAAGATATTGTGACAAATAATAAAAAGAAAACCATCAGGTTTCGTTCTCTAATTTTCGAATAATAGCAACTTAAACTAATTTGCTCATTTCCAATATATTGGTGGATGTTGCACGTAAATGGTCTTCCTAGATCTGGAACCAATACTTCCCAAAGACCTATAATCTCTCAGAAGTGGCAAAAAATTAACATTTATTATTGGTTTTTGACTGAAATGCATCTATATGAGACACAGACATTTGACTATATTCTTCAACGAAATCAGCGTTAACGAAATAGTCAGAAGTGCGTCTTTCCTGTATTTGTGAATTCTCCAAAGAGTCACTGGAATGGACTTTTTCGTATTTGTCTACAAAAGTTGGCAAACTATTTCACACATTGAATATTTTTGGATGGCCATCCAAAACTACTTGGCTTTTGCAATGTCCGGTAACCCCCATTCAAATGTGCGTGAGGATCGGGCGATAATTACGACCTGCTGACAATTTTGCAGTTTTTTTGGTCCATTTCATCCCCTAAATATATGGCGATCATCTCCAAAAAGAGTAGGCTTCTATTCTGACCCTCATCTTATCCCCATGCAAAATTTCGTAAGGATCGGGCCATAAATGCGATCTGTATATGATATCCTGATATCCTCACTACTTAGTTTTGTTAACTGCAGAAATATTACCAAATGTTTAATTCAAAATGAAAATATGCCAAAAATATGACAAAATTGAAAAAATATGAGAAAATATTACAAAATCAATATTTTTATCTTTAGAGAGATATTTTTATGAGATTTTTTTAGACGTTGTTTTTTTCCTGCCAAGAGGCCATTCTGAATTAATGAGAACTGTCGAAATCAGTTCAGCCGTTCTCGACATATAAGATATCTTTCAAGCATATCTTCTTTGATAGACATATATATCGCATATATTTTGCTATATATCCGTTTTGTTGGATGTTAACATCAATGTAAAGATCAGAAGTAACCTTGTCATGGCTTTGTGATTTCGCCGGGATTTAAAATATTCGCGGTTTAATGAAAAATTTTGAATTTTTTCAACACAAAAGATATGGTCTATTTTACCCGCTAAATATTATCCGATGACCACCCAAATTGGTAGGCTTCTTCCCCGCCCTAAACTCTAGGTACATGCGAAGTTCGACGAAATTTTTTCAGTTTTCGGTCCATTTCGACCCCTAAATATTACGCGATCATCTCCAAAAGAAATAGGGTTCTATTCTGACCCTAGCCCCACCTCCATTCTAAATTTCGTGAAGATCGGGCCATAATTGCGACCAGTAGAGTGATTACAAATTAACATGGACAGACGGACGGACGGACATACATAGCTAGATCGACTCAACTCGGCGAGATAGGAAGATCCATATATACTTTCCTATGTGGGAAATCAATATTTCGAGGTGTTACATAATTTTGGCCCAATCAAACTTATAATACCCCCAACACATAGTGTTGTAGGGTATAATTACAATTAAATTTAAATTGGCTCGGTCTGGACCCTTCTAAAGTGGTAAATTTTTAGACATTTCTAAAAAAATTTGTTTGAAAAATCGTATTTTGTTCAGAAAAGCTTTCCGAAGAAGGTTTTGTTGACATCGGTGATTCCTAATGAAACTATCGAAAAAAATCCTTACAATGATATATGGGGGATAAGATTTATCGACCATTGTAACGCAGAAGGACAATATGTGTTTGTATAATTATTATTATTATTATTAAGATAATAATAATGTAACTAGATCTTCGATTGGGTCAAAATATTTTTGTAAAGAATTAATGGCAAAGTCTTAAACATTTTTTAAAGTTTTTTTTTTTTCAAGAATCGTGAGTCTTGATTTTTGAAATAAATTTTACAACGTCTTGCTGGATAATCAAAAACATCCTGCCCAAAAACCTTGAATTTATTAAAATTTCTAAATCGATAGCTGTGAGTTCAAGACTTGGCGTCAGCTATAGATGTAGGATTTGAAACTACACTTAATATTCAAATTGAAAGTTCAATATCTACAGCATACAAAGTAAAAAAGAGATTGTGGAAAATTCAAAAAATAAATAAAATAAAAAACATGTTAACAAGTATCAGTCGGTTTTTGCTGACAACTATATAGCATGCAATGTTCGATTATTTAAATATATTTTGACTTCTGTTATGTTTATTCAAATTGTTGACCCTCTATGGAGTGGATTCCGAAGGAACGGACCAATATTGTTCATTTCATATCGGACCTAAATAAATATTATAAAAATATTGCGACGTGCCAGGTTTGGACTATATTGGTTGGAGTGGACCGATATGTCCCATCTTTACACCAGACCATGGGTTAATAAAAATATTGTGATGTGTAAAATATGAAGAGAATCGGATGCTTATTTCGGATTTTAACATCGTTTTGGTTATTTAAAACTTTGAACCTTTGTGGGGGAGGTACCAGAAGAAATGGTCCGATCTCTACCATCTTTTTAACAGATCTTGTATTGATAGAAATATTGAGATTTGTAAAATTCTGAATGGAAGCAAATGTTAATTTTGCGTTTTATGAGCTTCTCAGACATTCAAAATTTTGACCCTTTGTGGGGGAGGTACCAGAAGGAGTGGACCGATATATTCTATCTTCACACCAGACCTTGGGTTAATAAAAATATGTGATGTGTGTAACTTAAAGACAATCGGAATCTTACATCACACTTACATCAAAATTTGACACTTTGTGGGGGAGGTATTTGTTGTAGTGCACCAATATTGCCCATTTTCGCACTTGACCTAGCACTGATGTCATTATTAGGATTTGGAAAGTTGGAACAAAATCGGATTATCCTGTGTCTTTCTGTGCATTTTTTTTTTTTTTTTTGAAAATATAGACTTTTTTGGGGATTTACCTGAAGGAGTGAACCGATGTTGCCCATCTCCGAACTCGATCTAAGTTTGAAATTATAAAAATTTGGACCAAATCCGACATTCCTTTCGAGATTTATCGTGTGCACATCGACTGATCGACTCCAAATGTCCTGAAACGGATTTGGTCCAAGAGACCTAGGGGCTAAAACTATTATTTTAATGATGCACGTTTTTGCCGTATCAAATGACATAGCCATATGGCTGGGGGTATAATGTTTTTTTCTACATTTTTGTCGATTTAAGACGACAAAATGCTTTGGACTTTACTATTGTACCTTTCTTCGAGGGAGGACTTTATTTACTTTAAGCTAAAAAACAATAATAAGTTTTTGCCGGGTATTATGTCTGCTAGTTTATAAGATCAGTCAGTACAAGTTTATGGACGTTGCCACAATGTGAACCACACACATTGACAATTATATTGGAATATGCAAAATAAAAATGAAGCCAAAATCGTTTCACACTTTATGCGATATACGACCATTACAAATATTTATCCTTAATGGGGGAGGAACTCAAAAAAGTTGGGCGATATTCTTGGTTTTTGCGGACCTCAGTCTGGTAAAACTTACGATGTTTTTTAATTTTTATAAAGTTGGATACTCCCGTTGTGTGGGCATAGACCAGAAAGAGTGGAACAATATTTGGACCAAATATTATATTTTCGGCAATTTCATTGTACACAAATCAACTGGTCACATTTCGGACGTGTCAAATGATACGTACAATAACGAGTGATTATGAACCTAAGGGACACATGACCAGACCAAAATATATTTAATTTGGCCATGTACCGCTTCTTAAGTTTTCCTTTAATTTCAAACAATTGATTCCAGAGTTTCTTGGAAATTTGGAGACGAAATCTTAATTTTGAGGAAATCTGATTTTTGGATTATAAGCACGTCTTATAAAATATGGTGAAAATCTAACTATTTTTCGAAATGTTCCAAAACCCTGAAACTTACGATCATACACGGCCTTAAATGGACGAAATCCATTTCGGAATGTTTCGTCGGTCTATCTGCTTGGTACACACGGTAAAACTCGAAGCTGTTTACGATTCCATTCAGTATAGTTTTAATTGAACATTAGGTCAATTTTCGTTCCATAAAAATGAAATTCTTAAAAACGAATTACAATATTTGAAAATTTCGGTTCCTGTATATATTTTTATATACCTCAATTTATACGTTTATTTGTTGCAATTCCGTTGCAAAGTGACCTGGAAAATTTGGTTTTTTTTCATACAAAAGTGTTAACCCGTTTCTGTACTGCCCTGTCCTAAACTATATTCCATTGCAAAATTTCATTTCGAATGGTCTATAATTCTGAGCTATACTGTGACGGTTAAATCAGAAATAATACTGTTTTTTAACTCTTTTATCCACAAAATATTTTACGATCATCTACAAAAAAAAAAAAAAAAAACAGACTTCTATTCTGACCCTAATCTGATCGTATGTAAAATTTCGTGGCGATCAAGCCATAATTTTTCAGAAAAAAGTCGGTCACTTATGTGCAGTGATTTAAGATTTCAAAATAGCAAATTACAGACAAACGACATATAAAAACGGTCGATTTTAAATTTTGTAAATTACTTTAAATGAGAAACAAAATTGACAAAT